GCCCCGGCCGTACCGCCCCGGGCCTCCCACCGCCGCCCGAGGCAGCGGCTGCAGCTGCGTTAGACACTGTGAGGCTTCCGCGGCTGGGTCGAGTTAGTGCCACCCAGGAGGCTTCTGCTCCCCGGCAACGCCGCCGTTTAGGAGGATTTTATGGCCAGATTTCACAGAATCATCTAGGTTGGAAAAGACCTTGTAGATCATCCAGTTCAACCATTGACCTAACACTGACAGTTCCCAACTACACCAGATCCCTCAGCGCTATGTCGACCCGACTCTTAAACACCTCCAGGGATGGGGACTTGTTTTGCTGATTAAGGATACCAATTAAACTCGGACACCAGAGTGAAAAGAGTAGGTGTACTTTACTGGTGATAATCAAATAATGTAACAGTGTAATACAGAAGACATGCAGTAAGAAAAAAACGAATAGTGCACCTAAATCAACAAACAGGAGAATACAGGGTAATGGATCAAATCATTACTACATGAGAGAGAGAGAATAGTGATTAAGAAAGATCCATCACCACTTGCAGACGTTCCCATCACCCAGCCCCGCAGTGGCTGGGCAGCCCCGGTTACAGCGAGGGTTTGCAGAGCCTGTCCCGGCAAGGGGGAAATCCTACGCGGGGCGTCCACCCACAGGTGAGGCTGCCAAAGTCGCTGCAAATGGGCCCAGCCTTATATACCAGAGATCGACAAGCCAGAATAGCTGGCACCTTTGTTTTGAGCAGAAAATTTCTGGTTTCATTCTCCCGTTGGATTCCACCCACAGCCTGGCAGGGCTCAGGGAGGAAACCAACGGAGTTTCTAACAAGGCCAGATACTTGGGTTCTCAGCCTTGAACAAGGCCAAACAAGGGAAGCTGGATACATTCTCTCCTCACTGCTGACTGTATTCTGTCTAAGCTTCATCTTTCACTCGCGAGCTTACACACTTTGTTAATGATTACATACTATGTTAGCAGCTTCGGCTTGGGGCCTGCTGTTCAGGCTTCAGTATTTCAATGTTTTAGCACTTTTTACATCAGAATAGGTGGTTTGTTATAACTTAGTACAATACCTACTAGCACAATGGTTTTCAGTTATAAAATATAAAGGATTCATCTATAGGTCAACTCTGGCTTGGGCTGGTTGTCCAAGCCTTAGCACTTCAGGACTCCACCACCTCCCTGGGCAGCCCATTCCAACACCTAACAACCCATTCTGTAAAGAAATTCTTCCTAATATCCAGTCTAAACCTTCCCTGGTGCAACTTGAGGCCATTAACTCTTGTCCTATCACTTGTTACTTGGTTAAAGAGGCTCATCCCCAGCTCTCTGCAACCTCCTTTCAGGGAGCTGTAGAGGGCGATGAGGTCTCCCCTCAGCCTCCTCCAGACTAAACCCCCCCAGTTCCCTCAGCCGCTCCTCGTAGGACCTGTGCTCCAGACCCTGCACCAGCTTCGTTGCCCTTCTCTGGACACGCTCGAGTCATTCAATGTCCTTTTTGTAGTGAGGGGCCCAAAACTGAACACAGGAATTGAGGTGCGGCCTCACCAGTGCCGAGTCCAGGGGTCAGATCCCTTCCCTGTCCCTGCTGTCCACGCTATTGCTGACACAAGCCAGGATGCCATTGGCCTTCTTGGCCCCCTGGGCACACTGCTGGCTCCTGTTCAGCCGGCTGTCAATCAACCCCCCCAGGTCCCTCTCTGACTGGCAGCTCTCCAGCCACTCCTCCCCAAGCCTGTAGTGCTGCTGGGGGTTGTTGTTACACGATGTGTTTATAGATATTTATAACATTTATTATTAAATGACTGTTTTATAAAATGTAAGGGCAACAAAGCAAAATGCTGGACAGCCCATTGCAAGCACTTATTCATAGAATCATAGAATGGTTTGTGTTGGAAGGTACTTTAAAGATCATCTAGTTCCAACCTCCTGCCATGGGCAGGGACACCTTCCACTAGACCAGGTTGCTCAAAGCCCCATCCAACCTGGCCTTGAACACTGCCAGGGAGGGGGCATCCACAGCCTCTCTAGGCAACCTGTTCCAGTGCCTCACTACCCTCACTGCAAAGGATTTCTTCCTTATATCTAATCTAAATCTATCCTCTTTAGTTTAAAACCATCATTCCTCATCCTATCACTACACTCTCTGGTAAAGAGTCCCTCCCCAGCTTTCCTGTAGGCCCCCTTTACGTACTGGAAGGCCACTGTAAGGTCTCCCTGGAGCCTTCTCTTCTCCAGGGTGAACAACCCCAACTCTCTCAGCCTGTCCTCATAAGGGAGGTGCTCCAGCCCCCTGATCGTCTTTGTGGCCTCCTCTGGACCCACTCGAGCAGGTCCATGTCCTTCTTATGTTGGGGGCCCCAGAGCTGAACACAGCACTCCAGGTGGGGTCTCACAAGAGGGAAGGAGAGAGGGAGAATCACCTCCCTCAACCTAGTGGTCACAATTCTCTTGATGCAGCCCAGGATATAGTTGGCTTTCTGGGCTGCAAGTGCACATTGCTAGCTCATAGTTTTCTATCCACTAGTATCCCCAAGTCCTTCTCTGCAGGGCTGCTCTCAATCCACTAATTGCCTAGTCTGTATCTGTGCTTGGGATTGCCCTGACCCGTGTGCAGGACCTTGCACTTGGCCTTGTTGAATTTCGTAAGGTTTGCATAGGCCCATCTCTCAAGACTGTCAAGGTCCCTCTGGATGGCATCTCCCTTCCCTCCAGTGTGTCCAGTGTGTTGTATTCAAGCTTATTTAAAAATAAAAATATTCCAGCTTAAGATGTGGTTCATTAAGCAAGAAAAAATGCTTTCTTTACCTTTCCCTTCACAACAGTAAAGCGCTGTGGTGTCCTGATGCACTTTGCATTGTAACCGATACAGCAGGGTTGGTGCTCCTTCTGCCTGCAAGACCCAGCTTGCACAAATGCCAACCCCTGTTGTCCCAGGGGTGCATCATGGCACACATCACCATGGCTTCACCCAGAAGCTCTGCTGAAAATTAACACAGTGATTTTATTTAAATTTATGCCCCTTTACTCCTGCACGTGGACCCGATCCTTGCGTGTCTTGGAACAAGAAAACAATCCTTTAGCAGAAGCTTGTTTGGATGACACTGTGATTAGCTATCAGCTTTCAGTCTCTTTTATTACCAAGTAACACACTGGACTTGTTGGAGCAGGCCCAAATCACAAGACTCCTCACTTCTGAAGTGATACCCAACTGCCTGTACTACACATCTGTGGTAAGGAGCAGAGCTCTTGGGCTCCCAACACGACCAGGCCTGAGACAAACTCCTGAGCACTTCCTTGTGGGAAACATCCAGGCTGGTTTGCTGCTGCCTGTTGCAGAGGCTGCCATGTCAGCAAGGCCGCCTTCCCCGCTCCCTCGCCCTGGCACTGCTGCCCAGGGCCCAGGACTGAGGCTCAGCTGAGAGTTTGAACCTACATGCCACTGTGAGCTGCTCTGGCAGTTCAGAGCTGACAGACAGAAGAGCTCTTCTTCCCCTCCTCCTCCCCCCCTGGCAGGCTTTGGCAATTTCAGATCCCTGTGGAGAGCTGGTTTAATATGCTTAAATAGTAAAGAACTAAGCTAATGTCTTAAAAGAATCATTTTCTGATGCTTTATTGAGCTGCCGGTCTCATGAGAAAGTCCCATGAACACCAAAGCTGGCAGGAAGGGAAGGGTGTGGAACAAGGCAAGGGTACCCGCAGCATTCCCAGGCTTTCCAAGCAGAGGAACCCCTGCCTGGCTGCAGGCTTGCGCAAAGCCAGGGGCAGGAGCACCCTCCAGGCAGGAGATTTGTAGTAGTACAGCCAATCATGGTTTGACTCGTTCTTCCCTCTATCTAATGCCAGACTGTTTTATTAACTGACCTTGTTCAGTGCTGTAACCTCAGTGCTTGAAACCTGCCTATTTACAGGTCTGTAAATACAGTGTAATTCATCTAAGAGTTAAAAGTTTGCTTTTTTTTTTTTTTTTTTTCTTTTAAGGCTAAATAAGGACTACTGAAAGGTCTCAAGCTTGTCTCAGCAGCAATTAAATATATGGCAAACCTGCTTAGTATCTGTGTGTGCACTGCTTCCCTCTCACCTACTTTCCATCTGGCAAAGCTCCTGGTCTGGTGGACTTACAAGTCATAAATAACATCTCAGAGCTTCTGAAAAAAACAGAGCTTAAAGAAATCCTTTATGCTAAGACACATGGTCTCCTTAAGACACAAAACTAACCCTTCCTTTAAAGTGTGCTTCTACGTGTTACTTATGCAAATTAATTTATTACTTCTCATGTATTTAGCGAAGCAAACGCAAAATCTGGAGAGAGCAAGCCATTCCTTATGTTGCCATTGCTTTTATATTTGTGATTTTTAAAAATTTACTAAAAAGCCATTAAATACATGCACAATGGCAAGTATTTTACTTAACAGGATAAGCTGGTGCTATTCAATTTTTCTACTATTAAACAGACTTTAAGATAATGGCTGTTAAATGCAGCAGCCTAGAATGCAACCTCTCCCACAAGACAGGGCCTCAAAGACACAAATAAAAGAGACTTTTTTTCCAAACCAGTTATTATGCCGTATTTCAAAAAGTGTGTAGTTGCTTGTTCTTTAGAGTACTTTACCCAGCTACACTTTTTTGGCCTATCCATGGCCACAGCCAGTGCCTTAGGGTACATATTCACATTAGTTCTGTTGTGTTCATCTTCAAAACAATTTGCGTGGAAACCATTTTTCACTTGATTCCACACTACTCCATATTTATTAAAAACATTTTTCAAGGGAACTGCCTCCAAATGTCATGTTGCTGCATGACATTCAAAATGGTATGTCTTGCTCTCCTGCACTGCACTATTT